ATAGTTTCGACACAAAAAATTCTTGAACTTGGAAAATCTCGATTTTTCACATCCTATATTTCAGTAATTATAACTGCTAGACCCCAAGTATGATGGGTCGTTGAAATCAGCTCATCAGGGAGAATTTCAGAATGAAATAGTATATAGGGTGTTCGATAGAAAAAAGTTGAACTTCAATGTTTTATGGTTTTTGGGGACACCTTGTATGTTTCAAAATAATTTTAAATGGTAGCCTATGTTGACATGCAACTTCCTAGAGAGAAAGAATTCCAAGAAGATAAGTGGTTAGCCTTCTAGAGACCGATGCGTTACTGGTGGCCCACCCGTATAATTAATACTCAGTACGTTGATCTAAAAAATTGGTAACTATTTCTTTGGCGCTGAAATAAATATCGAGTAAATTCAAGTTTACACCAAAGAATATTGTTGGCGCTAGTCAGACTTCGCCGATAGGCGACTGCTGATAACCAATAACTCCCCAAATATTGAACACCCTACCAGATTAGTGACGATCCCTCGAAGAGTTTGCCATCAGTAATCAATGCGAATCTCCAAATGTTCTCGCCATAAAACTATGTATGCGAAATCCTCAAACAGCTAATAATTGCGAGCACTCTCAGTTCTTGCCAGTGGCGATTGATGCGTATATCTCATAGTGCTCGCCTGAGGGCATTGTATGAGAATTTTTGCGTAGGATATTTTTGAGACCTCGCTGAGCTCAGCCTAGGTTGCGGACATTTGGAGGAGATATAGCGCTCTCGGCGATCTCTTGAAGAAGTTACAAAAGGCATCACAATTTCCTAGAAGAATATCTTCAAGATATCTTCAGGGCCTCTCAGTGCTGGCTGTGTAGATTCTCCAACATGTATGGTCTGAAGCACTTACAGAACAAAACAAAATAGTTTCAAATTGAGACCTTTGTTCATTGTGTTATAGCGAAACATGACGTGTGTTTGAGAATTTTGTGGAGATCCTATCGTTTGTGAAGTTTTTACACCTTCTGGAGAATCCTCTCGGCTCCCAGAGGTAAGCCATGAGTGGCTCAGGAAAAGAAAGACTCAATACAACCAGTGTGTCAAGGAGCAGTATAAGAGCTACGCCTTAGGGCAGTGTCCTTTCCATAGCGGATTGGGCTAATTGCTCAGGACGAAAGAGAATTCGAATTTTTGAAATGCTGCTTGCGTTGTCTCTTCAATTCATTTCTTTATGCATTCATTCCAAGGAGATTATTAACAGGTACCTAGAAACCTAATTCAACGAATCCTTGAATTGGGAGTTAAGAACAACACCAGTTGCATTCTAAAACTTACACTAACGTGCAATAGGAGCACCAATTTATATTCGATACAAGTAGAGAAATGGACTACAATATTGAATTTGTGATCAATCATAATAACTAATAACGTACTCGAGTTGAAAGAAGCTGAAATGAATACAATCGAATGTTCAGGATTTGAGATATTCAGGGTCCCATCATGGCATTGCGTATCAAAGTTTTGAAAGAAACAAAGTTCATAGTGAATATATCAATGCATCCTAGATTATCAGAGAACTTGTTATATAGTGCACACATATTATAAATTAGATTGAGACACTTATTAGTATGAAATAGAATGTGTTCAGGTCGAAGATTGGGTTTTGAAATATATTATATTCTCATTTTGGACAATAATTATACTCTTTCAGTTATCTTTGTTCATAATTTGTAAACAAATGTCATCTTCTGTGGAAGCCTCCTGTTTTCCAATTTGGTAATATTGGATTATTCACGAAGTGGCTTGTAGGACGAAAGATCGGGACATCTTCGATGTTTTTTGTAGTGTAGACAAGACATTTCATCAGGTGTAGCTTTCCAGGGTCCCAGATTATTGACGCAGATTCTGATTTGCTGCGAACGAGTGAGGAATATAGCATAGAAATGGTTTTTATTTCTTCGAATTCAAGAATTTCGCGTTTTAGAAAACCTAACATTCGGAATGCACTTCTTTATACATCGTTTATATGTTCGTCAAATCTCAATGTATTTTGAAACGTAACGCCTTAATCTTTGATTGGTGAGTTTTTCCATGCTCTTGTTGTCTATGAGATAGTTGAACTGATTGAAATTATTTGGCTTACAGTACATTCAGGTATAGTTTATTCTCAACTGTCTAAACATGCAGCAAATTCAAGTCATTTCGTAATATATCATGGTCCCCGCGATGTTAAATTTCTCGGATCATTTCACAGTCATCGGCGTATAATAAACAGTCAGATGAAAGTTGCTGAGGAAGATCAATATTGAATGAAAGAAAAATAAGGGGTTTACTTATCGTTCTCTAACTTGTGGAAAATCGAAACAAAGACCATTTCGGAAATTTGACAAGCATGGTCCCTTGTCGGAAAAGAGGGCGTAGGTGGAGGTTGAGATGAGTATCTAGGGATGTATAGGAAGGTGCAGTTTCAGAACCAATACAAATTATTGATTAATACCTATCATATTTGCGTCAAGAAACTAGTTGATATTAACTTCGAGTCACTACAAGTGATAGAGGATTATAATGGTTTCGATCAATTATTGCGCATGGATAGTTATTCAAACATAGTAATAGAAGTAGTTGTAGGAAGAAAAGTGGGGGTCGCCTATCAACTGAACCCTCATGGGTTTTTCTTTCTGTTTCCTACTGCACACATATTTTTATTTTTCATTCTCCTAATTCCCTTTCTCTAACCTTCGTGAATCTCTGATGAAGGTCGATACAGTATGAGAGTGCCTTGGGTCAGTACCACTAGGAAAAAAGTCGGGAGTTAATACTAAACGTTTTGTGAAATGGGCGCCAGTCAAGACATTCATCTAATAATACGACTACACAATGGTACAATTCTATACTTCATCAAATATCATCACTACAAAATAGTATGATACCTATAGTGAAGTATAATACAATTCATTATATTATATTACTGAACGTTTGCTTTTTACTACCGACTATTTTTCTGAGTGAATATATTCCTGTTGAAGCGAATCAGCACCAACGATTTTGAATCCATACGCCTTGATCTGAGCCAGCTAGGATGACATAGTATATAATGTTGTTGCAGTCTGGGCATCGATGGATTTTTACTGCTTAGGCTATAAACTGTCGATTCTTACTTCATTTGTCACTAATCAACATGGTAGCAATACTATTCTGTGATTCAAACGTCGAAAAAATTCAGATTCAGTTCACTGTTGTTGATACCCAAGAGAAAAAAAAATCACTGAAATACATACGTAATTGCTATAGTGATTCGGAAAAGAAACCGGATCGATTGATTGATGATTATTGGTGTGGAATTTCCACTGATAATACGACAAGAGCTTCAGTTATCACCAGATATTTCCTAGAGAACAGGAATAATTTGAAAATTGTTATGAGTCAAAGACGAGGGACAATTATTATCTGAGTATTCGTGTTTGAAGATAATTTTTTTAAATAGAGGCTAGAAGTGAATTCGGTTGAAAAATTCACACTGTATCCATCATTAAACAACATTTTCAATAGGATCACGATGGATGAAACACAAAATACCGACTTGAGTTGAGCAAAACATTAATGAAGCGGCTGGTGATAATTCAAACCATCAAGGTCTTCCTCCAATGGGTGCCAGGGAATAAGGGAATTGAAGGCAATGAAGCAGCTGACGCTTGTAACCTCCACTTTTCTTTTGGAATTATATCATAAAAAAAAAGAAAGATTCACTTGCGAACGGCAACTCCTTCATCAGTGAGCACTATGAGTTCGTTATTTTTTTTGTTGATTTTGAAATTCAAAAAATTGATAATGTCAGGCGCCACTCAACTTAAAAAATAAATCATCTCCACTTCAGAAGCTATAATGAAAAGTTGAGAACCTTATACAACATTAGAAAAATGTATGGAAAATTGGGAAGATATATAAGACTTAATTGATATCAGTCAATATTATGGTGAATGTTCAGCATTTCACAAATAAAACTCAGGACGTAACAAAAAAATCCAATATATTATATACAAGTATATACAGAGCCCTATTGAATTTCACCAAAATTAATGAATATAGTCACGATTATCTAAAAACATACAGTGTTGATAGACTTTAATGCATCAAGATTATTGATGGGAATTTATGTAATAGTCATGAGAAACATATTGATAATATACTATGTTGTTTAATTTCATTGTACCAAAGATATCAATGAGATATTTATATAAAAGTCATGGAAAGTGTATTGATCAGATATAAAGTGTTATCAACTATCAAAGTATCAACGATTACTCATGAGGTACTTATTTATTGTCGTGAGATATGCAAAAATGATGATATATAGTGTTGTTAAATTTCCTTGTATGCAAAATTAAGGGGGGATAATATTTCAGTGAAATCCAACAGGTTGAGGTTTGAGAAGAAAACTAAAACTCATGGAGAATAACAAGTAAGGTATGGAAAAGACTACAGCAAATTATGAATAAAAAGCTTTTTAAACAAAAAAATGAAAACATCTATTCTCTCAAAAAAACTGATCATCAATTTCCTGTATTGCATGATAAAATCATGTATTGTGATGTCGAAACTCACTCGAATTGGCGTCCGCATAGTACTATGTTTCAGCGGTTTCAAGTCGTACAATGATATATAAAAAATTAGCAATACACAGTATTTCACATTACCAACCTGCATAAGGAAACTGACCCGTCACCAGGAAAAAAAAAATATACCCGAAATATAATATAATAGAAGTAGCATAGATGACTGTTAAACCACGTGACCTACGCCAAACATTCCTGGAGGGATAGACCCAGGAGATCTCTCCCAGACGGTGTGCCTGATGGCAATCTTGGGAAAAACGGCAATGGTCGACCATCACTTGAGAGCCATGAGTGGTCGATGGTGGTGGAGCCTTCGGAGCCTAGGTAAGTAGGTAATGAGTGTTACCTAATGATGGCAACATCCATACGAGCCGCATCGTTAAAGTGGGAGTATGTATGACCCAGAATCCAGTCCAACCAAGAGATGCGAGAACAAATGGACTTGAAGGGATTCAACCCTACCGTGAAACCATATGACCAAAAAAAAAAGATCCAGTACACAATGGAAAACCTGGATGGTGGGACGTTGGAGATAACTTTGGATCAGGACTCACCTTCTAAGAAGGGTTTCTAACACCTCAGAAATAGCAGTAGCAGAGCACGTTCCAGAGCAGATCACGTGTCGATGTGCGATATCCTAGACAGCTTCAGGCTTTCCGGTCAAATTCCAAAATTCCAGGTTGACTCGATTGAGTGCGGTGAAGTTGGAGCTATCGATGTCCTCGCATGGGACCCAATCTCAAAATCCAAGAATATCCTGTAAACTCCTCACCAACCACTAACCAAAAAACTCGAGCTTACTGCTGACTCAAGAACCAGATCGAAAGTGCTCCAACCGGCACTGAAAACCACTTTTATAGTACTTCCCGGAAAGGGAAACTACGTCATGATCCAGGATAATCCGCGACTGTTCTGGAATGTCTGTTCCTTTGTTGAAGAGGAAACCCGAGTTGTTAAACAAAAAGGTGTATCTTCTAGAACCATTGCATTGTCGAAGTGAGTGAATCGACCAATCATGATGTCTCATTTCAGTTTTATTCTTTGGAATATTTGCACTGAGAAGTACAAGATTTAGACGTCATTCCTAGGAATTGGTGAAGGGAATTCGGCAACTATGCATTTTAGAAATCAGCTTAGCAATGGGCGTGTTGATGAAGTTATTGACAACATTGACAGAAGACAGATACAATATAGTACCAAAACAAACAGGGAATGGAACCAAGAATAATTTTCTGATCTAGGATTTCCTCCAAGCAGCCCTGAAGACCTTAATCAGACCTGGCAAGAAAATTATAATATTCTAGTTTTGAATTCCAGAGCAGCTTGGGCACTTAAGTTGGTGAGTACCTATACATGTACTTACAATATTTCATCAACACTGGCTTCTTTTCCAGGAAGAAAAATCTACACCCCTACCAATTTTCATACCTTAAGGAATCCTGACTTTATTCATATAAAGGCTCTGGAAGAAATCCCACCCTAAAATTACACGCTGGGTCCTCCCAATCCAGAAAATATATGGAATTTGAATGCATCTATATCTATACCTATAAACAAGAAGAAAACACTCAATTCAAATTTCCCTTAATGCTCATATCATCCCTCCACTACAAGTCGGTCAGTCTAACATAATTGTTATCATTATTTTTGGTTTTAATAAAATTTTTATCATATATATATTTCCTACCTTGGTTGATTCCTTGATTTGAAAATGAGTAGGCAACCCACAATATACCATTGATGTCTGCTGTGTTGCCTGGTAATTGAATGAGATGATGTCTTCGGTGGAAATTAATTGAAAATGAGTGCCTGATATGATTACTAGATTATTCGACCCTATACACCCAATTATATGATTGGAAAGATGATAAAAATTAACACATATCACCCAAGAACATAAAAATAATCAGTATGTACAATTTAAACGTTACACGCTCTTGATAGGCAAGGGTCTGCGGCGTTGTTCATGAGACCAGAACCTGTGTTCGGTATCCCCAAAATCTCAATACGCGGCTGGCTGGTAAGGTGGATGTGAGAAAGACAACAGGCATACTAAAACAATGTCCCAGGGCAAAGACACAGTGAACTGATGGTTGGAACACTGTCCAAAACAGTGATTAACGATATTCTGAGCCTAAACTAGAAGTCAGATCAGACAAGAGACGGGACAAATAACCGGTCACTGCCCCTTGAGGAAACATATGCATCAAATGGGCATCTATACAGACGAACCCATATGCAGACTTTGCAATGAGGAGGTGGAAACTGCCACCCATGTATTATTGGAGTGCGAAGCACCAGCGCGTTGGAGCAGTATACTCTCAAAAGGCCTCTCCAGAGAATGATTTGGTGTAGGGGCTGCTGAACCTCATCAAGGTAGCGAACCTGTCCACCTAAGTCAACTGCATGATCAGGGATACAATAGGCCCAAAAGCTGCAGAGTTTTGGACTTCGCACCCTGACTGATCATTCTGCTATTAATCAATCAATCAAACTTCATTACACTGAAGTTGATGGCAACATAATTTGTTTCAAGTCATATCGAGCCGTATATTCTTCTTACGAGAGTAACATCCATACCATTGTTATAATGAATGGAACACAATCGACTCACTTGGGTTACACAAGATAATAATTATAAATTAGTCGATAGTAACTTAATTTTTCAGTTTTTCTACTAATTCGTTTGAGTGAATTTGGTGAATATATATTCCATCACAAAAAACTTGAAGTTACCCAGTAAGTAGAATAACATATAATTAACCGACTCTAGTTCAATTGAAAAACAAAGAATTAGTCGATAACAGCTCAAACATATATTTATTCATAAACTCATTCAAATAAATTTGGTAGATATGATTTTTTGCAAAGAAATTATCATCTCATAGAATTGATTCGACATAATCATTAGTGAAATGTCAATGTCATTTTAACTTAAGGTCAGACACTTTCCAGTGTAATTTCATGCAACTTCTCCCAAGGAGGAGGAGAAAATTCCCGGAAATATTTTCAGTTGCTATGGTAACGATACAAAATACAGGCTTCTGTTTGGTCGAAAATCATGAGTGTGAAATTGTTCACTTCATTCATTAGGGAATCTTCAACTCACAATCAGTGATGGGGTGATTCTGATATAAAGGATATTCTAGAATACATTGATAGAATTATATCGAAAAGTTCTTACAGTACATACTAGAATTAAAATCGTTAGAAACACTTCGATTAACACTAAAAATTGTATGGTTACCAGCATTCATTGAGATATTCACTGACTGAGTAGTAACACTTTTCTATAAGAAACTGTTTCAATGATTTTTTGAATACATATAAACTGTAAATAATTTCCATATGAGGTGGTAGATTATTGAACAATCTAGGGCACATGTAATTTGGAGATCGATTGCTCAACTTTAACCAGACTGATTGAAAATGTATATCTTCCTTGTGCCTAGTATGATAATTATGCACATCATCATTGAGAGTAAATTCCTTTTTGTTACGAAAAACATACAAACATGCTTCATCTATGTAAACACATGGCATTGTCAATATTCCAAAGTTTGGAAACAATTGTTTGCATGAGTGAGTGTACGACACTCGTGCTATGCAAAGTTTTTTGTGCTATGAACACTTCAGAAATCCTTGTCGACATACCCCACAATAATATGCCGTATCTGATTGGACAGTCAACGTATGCATAGTAAAGATTTATTAACTGTATTTAACTTAAAATATTTCGCAAGTTCCTGAATGGATAGTTCATTGAGTGAAGCTTGGAGATAATATGTCCACATTGTGCTTTCCAAACAAGGTGCTCCTCAATATGAAGACCAAGGAAATTCATTGTCCCATTAGAGCTAGATAAAGGCCTACCATTCACATTGATCGCTATTGTATTACATGTATTTTTCAGTTTTTCTACTAATTCGTTTGAGTGAATTTGGTGAATATATATTCCATCACAAAAAACTTGAAGTTACCCAGTTAATAGAATAACATATAATTAACCGACTCTAGTTCAATGAAAAAACAAAGAATGAGTCGATAACAGCTCAAACATATATTTATTCATAAACTCATTCAAATAAATTTGGTAGATATAATTTTTTGCAAAGAAATTATCATCTCATAGAATTGATTCGACATTATCATGAGTAAAATGTCAATGTCATTTTAACTTAAGGTCAGACACTTTTCAGTGTAATTTCATGCAACTTCTCCCAAGGAGGAGGGAAAAATTCCCGGAAATATTTCCAGTTGCTATGGTAACGAAACAAAATGAAGGCTTCATTTTGGTCGGAAATTATAAGTGTGAAATTGTTCACTTCATTCATTAGGGAATCTTCAAATCACAATCAGTGATGGGGTGATTGTGATATAAAGGATATTCTAGAATATGTGAAAAATGTTCTAGAACCGGATAGAGTACATGAATATCATTCGTCTCCGGCATATGGTCTCTGAAGCACACCCCTGGACATTTTTTGTATACTCATATTCAAAGTCCTTGGTTCGACTCAATCATTTCTGGATATGATGATTTCTAAAGAAGTCTGAGTGAAATGTACCATTCTTTTTTCATCTCTTGGAGTGCACGGAGAGAAATTCCTATGATGTTCTTAAAACATCGTGCGTACCTTGTGAGGAGAGGGAGAGGGGTGGGTGTTTTCGGAAACACTTTCATTGGCAAACAATTCCAATTTTTGCTGTTTCAAATAGACAAACAAGATAAGTTGATGTGTTATTCGATTCAAATTCAAATTCTTTATTCTTTCTAATTTGACAATAATACAATTGCATTGAAAGTTGTCACAAAACTGAAATTACAACGGTTACAAACACTACAATTGATATTAAAATTCAACAGTTACACATTCACATTCACATTCACTGAGATATATGCAGGTACTAAGTAATCACACTTCCCTATGAGAAATTCTTTGTTTCTATGAAAACATTGATAGAACTATATCGAAAAGTTCTTACAGTACATACTAGAATTAAAATCGTTAGAAACACTTCGATTAACACTAAAAATTGTATGGTTACCAGCATTCATTGAGATATTCACTGACTGAGTAGTAACACTTTTCTATAAGAAACTGTTTCAATGATTTTTTGAATACATATAAACTGTAAATAATTTCCATATGAGGTGGTAGATTATTGAACAATCTAGGGCACATGTAATTTGGAGATCGATTGCTCAACTTTAACCAGACTGATTGAAAATGTATATCTTCCTTGTGCCTAGTATGATAATTATGCACATCATCATTGAGAGTAAATTCCTTTTTGTTACGAAAAACATACAAACATGCTTCATCTATGTAAACACATGGCATTGTCAATATTCCAAAGTTTGGAAACAATTGTTTGCATGAGTGAGTGTACGACACTCGTGCTATGCAAAGTTTTTTGTGCTATGAACACTTCAGAAATCCTTGTCGACATACCCCACAATAATATGCCGTATCTGATTGGACAGTCAACGTATGCATAGTAAAGATTTATTAACTGTATTTAACTTAAAATATTTCGCAAGTTCCTGAATGAATAGTTCATTGAGTGAAG